GAAACGGGTGAGAGAAGACAAATCATTAGTGAAACAATCTCGGAAAAAAATGGCACTATAATTAGCTCCCAAGATAGACGACTGGAACGCTGGAAAGAACAATATGAGAAGCAGTTTAATTAGCTTACAGCCACGCTCAAACTGCCAAACATCCAACACCTCCCTGAATGGGATATAGACACAGGTCCTCCATCCCTAACTGAGGTTACTAAAGCTGTCGCCAATCTGAAACTAGGCAAAGCAGCGGGACCTGATGGAATGACTCCAGAGGTATTTAAGTACGATGGAGACAGTTTACTGTCTGCATTAACTGAGGTTCTAGGCAGCGTCTGGGAATCAGAAGAAGTCCCATCGGGTTGGTGTAAGTCACTGATTATCCCCATATACAAGAAGGGAGACAAGTCTTCCTGTGATAATCACAGAGGCATTAGCTTGACTAATATAGTATCTAAAGTCTTAGGCTCAATAATCATGCGTAGACTGAGTGGTCCTCAGGAGGCTCAAACACGAGAGAGCCAGGCAGGCTTTAGACCAGGAAGAGGGTGTATTGATCGTATCTTCACACTCCGACAGACTCTAGAACATAGGCATTCCTACCGGCGTCCAACAGTAATTGTATTTCTTGACCTAAAGGCAGCTTTCGACTCTGTCGATCGAGAAGTCCTCTGGAGATGCCTGGCTGTAAAGGGAATGCCGAGAAAATACACTGCACTGATTAAGGCACTCTACTCGTACTCATACAGCCAGGTGAGGGCTTACGGCGAGCTGTCATCTGAACTGGTGACAACTAGTGGTGTCCGTCAAGGATGCCCATTATCCCCTTTTCTATTCAACTTCATCATAGATGTGTTAATGGACTTAACCCTAAGTGACTTCAGCGACTCAGGGATTGACTTGCTACCGGGGAATAATCTCGTTGACTTGGAATATGCAGACGATATAGTCCTTCTAGGCGAAGACGCTGACAAAATGCAGAGTCTTCTAAACACCTTGAGCTGCAATCTACGAATGTTTGGCATGCGATTCGCTCCCGCCAAATGCAAGATGATGTTACAGGACTGGACTACATCGACGCCTAGTTTAAAAATAGGAAGTGAAGTGGTAGAGCACGTTGACCGCTTAGCCGAAAAAATGGTCCGCTTAAAGATGTAATATATAATCTTGATTTTTGTCGATATGTTGATGAAACATTCATAGTTATTAATAAATATTGTTCCGTCTGTTCATCTAGTCACTAGGACGTCCAGAAACGGGATAGAGTGATTTTCTTCTTCTTCCTTAGTCAAGCTTATGGTGGGATGTGCTTTATTGAATTTATATAATATGTTCTTAAGCTCACGTCAGCCACGTCATTTTCTTCGTGTTTGGAAGGCTTTTATGTGTAAGTGATGTATTAGATGTTCACGGAGCTAATCGTATGGCAGAGAATTGGGTTGATCTGGAAATGATAGAGTTTTCACTAGTCTGTACGTATCTAGCGAAATCGCATCATGCGTCAAAGCATTCAAGGTAATCGTCGATTCCCCTCAGTGAATCATTCATAGGAAGCTTTCCAGGATTATATCATTCCATGGCGACGGCAAATTGTAATGGTTATTCGTAATAGTAGGATTTCGCAATGACCGAACCACAAGAAATCAACCAACAACACATAAAGGGGTGGAGTTGGGATTTTGTATTTGTCAGAATTAATTGTCATTTATGTAATAAATTTAACAAGCAACAGTAAGCATTTAAACAGTACAGCAAAAGAAATTTTCAATCACCATACCCATTTGTCATTCTAAATCAAAAATGTTTCGGAATGTTGAATTCTATCGTATCAAATTGCACACCATGTTATTTTATTTGCTTACTAACCCTTTCATTATGCGACCACTTCCAGCATCTATACATCCTATGAATTAAAGCACCATACACTTAATCGTATTGATGCGATCAGTTCTAGTGTTGTAGAGCTAAACAGGAACATATCTGTGAGAAGTCACGTTCTGTTTGAACTTTCAACTGATGAACTCCGGCAATTCGAAGAATGCGTTTCTTGTGTCATCGGGAAACAGTCCCAGTCTGCTAACCTCAAGCATCTTGACAGCCTCAAGCAGGTAGTGGCAGAAAACAAATTTCTGACTGATCTCAATAAATATGTATTTAATTATTCTTCCGTCACTCTTTCTGAAATTCAACTACAAGGCCACAAATTCTGTAACAGTTCGTCCGAAGTCAACATAGTGTATACTCAAGTGCAATTTGAAAATCTTATTAATCAGACCAGCGATCTGACACCCACATCACCTGAGGAATTCCAACACCTTAAATCCACAGTTCTTGATTGCTATCATCAGTTTACTAGTTCAAGACCTAGCTGGAATAATCTTCTGACTAAAGAGCAAATAGACCAACTTAAAGAACTAGAGAAGAATGGCGATATTAGCATATGCCGTCCGGACAAAGGTGGAGGTGTTGTAGTTATGAATCGCCGAGATTATAATGGCTGAAATCTCAGCGATCCTCTATGATCAAATGAAATTGGCCAAACCCGATGGCAAAAAGAATGAGACTCATCTAATTGAAAATCAACTGGTCGATGTCTTAAAGAAGATGAGGAATAAGTCAGTCATCTCGTCAGAAATATTTGAAAGCATCCGACCAGTAGGCTCCATGATACCACGTTTGTATGGACTACCGAAAATTCATAAGACAGGATTACCCCTCCGTCCGATCCCCGATATGGCGGGTTCTACTTATCACGGAATCGCTCAATAGCTAGCTGAAATACTGGAACCAGTCAGAAGGCAAGTATCTAAGTTTTCCATTGATGATACGTTTAAATTTATTGATAGCATTAAAGATTTTAATGTCTCAGACAAAGTCATGTTCTCATTAGATGTGACCTCGCTATTTACCAATGTTCCTCTCATAGAAACGGTTTCTATGTGTGTGACTATGTTGATACACATAGTTTAGAAATAGCGTTGCCGACAATCCACCTCACGAAGAGCCTTTATTGAGATGCACGTTGAATGTTCAGTTCACCTTCAATAATGAGATTTTTAGACAGAGAGATGGCATTGCCATGGAATCACCACCGGGTCCCTTGTTGGCTGATTGTTTTATGGTATTATTATTATTATTGTATCCTTTAGTTCCTAGAGGAACATAGGGCTTCAGCTGCGCACCTCCATTGACTTCGGTTTTTTGGCAACTTTTCCACCCTGCTCCAGGTCTGCCCACATGCTTTCCTCTCCTCTTCACATGACCTCCTCCAAGTCACCCTTGGACGACCAACTCGCCGCCTCCCTTTCGGGTTCCACTCGAGGGCTTGTCTAGTGATGTCGCTTGTTGGTTTCCTCAGCGTATGGCCAATCCATCTCCATTTCTTTCTGCCTATTTGTTTCACAATCGGTTCCTGGTTGGTTCGCTCCCAGAGATCCCTGTTGCTGATCTTTTCTGGCCATCTGATCTTGAGTATTGAGCGGAGACAGTTGTTAATGAAGGTTTGAAGTTTGTTTGAGATGCTCTTTATGACTCGCCAAGTCTCTGATCCGTATAGTAGCACTGACTTCACATTGGAGTTGAAAATCCGGATCTTATTTTTGATGCTGAATGCTGTTGACCTCCACACAGATTTGAGAGTAATGAAAGCTTGTCTTGCTTTTCCGATTCTGGCTTTGATGTCCGATTGTTTTATGGTAGAGCTTGAAAATTCTCAACTTAGTCAAACCATCAGTCATTTTGACATTTATAGATAATACGTAGACGACACTTTCGTTATCTGCGATAAAAACGTAGTTCTTGATGATGTCTTGTTTGCTTTCAACAACTGCCATCCTTCTTTACAATTCACCATAGAAAAGGAATCGGAACTAAGTATTCCGTTTCTTCATGTGTGCCTTAGCAGACTTAATGACGAATCTCTCGAAAGATCTGTCCACCGGAAACGTACATGGAACGGACAACTAGCTAATTTCTTACAGTTGGGTGCCTAATTCCAGGAAAGGGAACCTAATTCATTCGCTCTGCTTTAGGATAAGGAAAATTTGTAGTTCTGATTGCATCTACTCAGAACTTGACTTCTTAAAAGCCACGCTCGCAGAAAACGGTTACGCTAACCGATTTATTGACAGCAACATGAAAGATAAGCAGTGTAAACTGGTCACCGACTCAGTTCCAAAGAGAACCTTATTCATGAAGTCGGAATTCAAAGGTGATCAAGCTTCAGATATGCTCAAAAATCGTCTCTCTAAATCAGTCAGTAAGACGTTCTTTGCAGCAAAATTACATATGACGTTCACTAGCCGCAAGTTGTTCTCTGCCTCTGTAAAGGATAAGCTCCCCCATCTGGCTGCCTTCATGTGCATCTACCAGTTCACCTGCCTCTCTTGTGGAGCAAGGTACATTGGCCGTAGTCAGCGGACGCTTTCTATGCGGATACGAGAACATATTCAAGCAGCATGGTTTTACGAGAGGGAAGGAAAGTGTGTGCGAAGCTCTATTCTGGAACAACTGATCGACCTCTGTCACTCTGTCAACCCTGACCATGATTTCAAGATCATATATAGAACCCATGCTAACTTCCCGCGTTTTTTGAGAAACTTCATGCATTTATTCCCCTTGATGAATTTGAATAAAGCAAGAACAAGAGTGGTTTGTGCAGAATAATATGGTACCATCATTTATTTCGTTGGCTTCTCATCAGCTGCTTACAGCCTATATAAATTTTGAGGTTTACGTACAGAAGCGTTTAAACATATTTGCAAATTTTACATGTTGTCAGTTGATAGAAAGTTCCACAATTAGTAATCAGTGCTCGGAAAATTGCGTTTATATAGTTTTTACACAGGCAGTTTTAAGTTAGAACAAAATAAATGTATGCGTACGTACGTAAACCTCATAATTTATATAGGCTGTAAGCAGCTGATGAGAAGCCAACGAAATAAATGATGGTACCATGTTATTCTGCACAAACCACTCTTGTTCTTGCTTTATTCAAATTCATCAAGGGGAATAAATGCATGAAGTTATTCAGCGAAACCTTCAAAAGTATCCGGAAATAACTTTGTCGACATTCCAAGTGTTTGGTGGAAGAAACCGGAAAAGATCTTATGGAATTGGGGATTTGTTTCAGTGATCGGAACGGAGATGCAGTAATGGTGAACAAAGGGTAAGTACAATAATAATGCTTTGTGGTACTTTCTTGACTTTGTGAATGTGAATATGTGTGGAAAATTGCATGTATTTGTCAGATATGTGTTGTGTATGATGGCTTTATTCTGAGGTTGCATGGCATACGTAACTGACTGAATCTCACAGCCTGTTTATTCTATAGTTGGAGAAAAGGGAACAAGTAGTTCAGCTAACCTTCTGTGTTTGGCTGTAGACATAGTGGGACTGTCGTGGATTATTTTGGTCTAGTACTTTTGCTAAAGATTATCGCACTGTTGAAGATTTGGATGTTTTATGCAGAGTTTCTCATTTGATTTTTCATCATTTACATCATTTGACAAGTAACCGTTAAATAAGACGTCTGAAAATGCGTCGATTGTCTCCTCCTCCTCCCCCTCTCCCTTTGCAATAAGCAGGATGTCGCATTTTATTAATTTGTGTGTTTTCGTTCGCCAGGAAACAATTAAATAATTAGATTGTCCTCATTTCATCTTCTTTTTATTTGTGTAATACAGAGTGATTCCCCGTACAGCGGATCATTGTGAGGGCTCTTCCTGTCTGCATTGGACTGGCATTGCTAGCAGTGGTACTAGTCAAAATCTTCTCAAGCCTGGTTCAACTGCATCATTGGATTCATGTTTTGGGATGTTTAGAGCATTATGAGTTAATCGTTTGAAAACCTTCTTGTACATAGCCTGAAAGATGCTAGATTTCTGTCGTTGCGTTCTTAATTGCGTTGTTCTTAATTCCAACGGAATGTATGTTATTCATGCGAATTATTGAATGACAAATGTAAATACATGTGTACGTGGATAATCTGTGTTGTTCGACAATTTCACAGACACATTCTGTGACAGAAGGCAGTGGAAGCGACGAAAAGTAGTTTCATGTATTCACGAATTGGTGAAAGTGTATTAGTCAAGTGGTAGAAATGTGCCGTATTCTAAAGTGTAGTTGTTCTTCTCAGGCTCACAATATGATTGCATTAGTTGGTGTATTGCTTACGCGTCATCAGTGAAATTCGGAGGTTATTTAAACATTTCGGGTGGTAATATAGGGATGTTTAGAGTGTACTTTCTATCTTTGAGATGCAAGTGATTGCTTCTGTACCAGTCGACGTGGTGACATGACATTATGACAAGGAGTGGAGTGGTTAAGTAGGTTGATGTGTTTCATTGTTATGGAGAGTTAGGTTATATGTTGTTAGATGACATCTACTGAAATCAAGGCATGAGTACAAAGGACTCGTTTGACGTTTCCAACTTGAAGTACTTGTGGAGTCGTTGAGATAGGTGATATCGTCCATGAAGAGTGAGTACTGTTCAGTGTGTTGTGTTTTACTATATGGGTGCAAACAGACGTTCGGGCATATGCTCATCGATAAAAGTAACGGAATAGCAGAGGCTGAACATCAAAGTGTGATTAAGTAATTTATTCATTACGGAATGTAAGATTACTGGTGGTCCACTAAGGGCCAGTCAGAACTTTTTTATGCATAGTCCTGCGCTGAATGTTCAGTTGAATTGGTGAACTGCATTGGCTTGTGTCAGCCAAATTATTCTTCATCACAGATTTCGTACTCCGCTTTTGAACCAGAAATCGTAGGATATTACACATGATGTTGTTTTCAAACTACTGGTTACGGATTAATGTTAAGCAATTAAATTAGAGTTAGGGGACTCTTCCCGTGTAGTCGATAAATGATCATCTTTTCAAGGATTCTACTCCTACTCCTCCATACACACTTGTGAAGGCGCGATGCTAGGTAGGAAAAGTGTTTGATTTATGTGAGTGAATGAGATGAGAAATATGACTGATGTTCAACGTGTGGGTTGTAGGTCGGTGATCTAGGCTTATTCACGTGTGTAATCCCTTCGTCTGAGTGTGAATGAAATACCTCGGAGCAGAGTAGGGGCTTGATTATTAAACTCAGCTTGTTTCCTGACCATGTGATCGCTGCGATAACTGAGTGTGTTAAATAAACACTGAGACCAAGTGAAATTCGAGGTGAACAGGAAGTTTGCGGAATCAATAGTTGTTTAGAAGTCAGTTGCGGCGACGAGATCTCCGAGTGACACAGACTAAGAGTCACACTTAAAATATGAGAGTTGATGATACTACACAGTTGTCCCGGCTGAAGTGGTGGTGTGATGGATGGGGGTAAGATTCGAAAGCGGGAGTGATTGTTCGACAACCGAGTGGTGAGGCCAGTGCAGAATGAAGAGGTCCAAGAAATTCAAACTTATATTCAGATTCATCCGTGTAGTACGATCACTCGACTGTAAAAGATTGCACACCTATGCATCCTTAGTTCGGGTACAACTCTTCAATGCTAAAGTATGGAGAAAGTTTTAACTGATTTCTAATGTAATAATAATAATAATAATTCAGCATGGCCCGGCCGATAACTGCTAACTTGCCGTGGTGGTCGGGCTTGAATACCGCAATGACCCAACAAGCTAAACTGACTTGGACTCATGTCCCTGCAGGTCCTACCATGTCAAGAAGGTTGTTTGGATAGCGGTTAAACTAAAAGCAGTTACCATGGGGTACATGGGCTCCAGTATCCGATCGGATCAAATGTCGTATGAACCCATATGGGTCAACGGGAACCATGGGAATGCAGCTCCGCTGCCTTGCGGATTAGACTGTAAGTCAAAGGCTCGGGGTGTGGTCCCTTAATAAAACCACCTGCTTCGGTCTGGGCGCCCGGACAGTCTCTCAGCCCTCACACAATAAATCAAATGAAGCAACAATCTATCAATGAAACTTATCGCACGCAATTACAAAATGATTTCAAGTAATAATGATGCCTCAAGTAACTTGTGTCTTTCCTTACTTTCATTTTTATACACATTTTCCTGTATTTTACCTTTGCTAAGCTTGACTTCTTAACCTTCGAGAGCCTTTCGCCTTTGTCTAGATTGCCAGTCTATCTGTGTCGTTTCGAGATGTTAGTGAGTAATCTTCAAAATGGTTGTCCCCAATGTGACATCTAACACAGATATCCTGAAACCGCGTTCCGCGTTCAAGCTGGCCACCTACAATGTTCGGACGCTGATGGAAATCGGACAACAGGCAGGGTTGGTAAGAACTTTGGAAAGACTCGCTATCGATATCGGCTGCATTTCAGAGACCCGCATTCAAGATCCCAGTGAAGTGCTTCGACTATCCTCTCCATCTGGGAGTTCTAACAGTATGTACCACCTGCGCCTATCCGGGGACCCTGTGGCGTCGGGATCCGGTGTAGCTGGTGTCGGTGTCGCACTGAGCGCTAGAGCCGAAGCTGCATTGCTCGACTGGATTCCTATGAACAGTCGTTCATGTGCTGTGAGGCTGGGAGGTTATACGAAAGTAAGGAGTAGTAGGCCAGATAGGCGATGTCTATTTGTTGTTCCTGCCTATGCACCGACGGATTGCAGCCCGGATGCAATGAAGGATGAGTTCTACCACCAACGTAGCGATCTTTTGAAACAGGCGGGTCGGAGGGATATTGTAGTGCTGGCTGGGGACTACATGGTGGCAGGTCAGATAATGGGGACCGTCTTCTGCAGCTTTGGGCGGATCTCAACCTATTTCTAGCCAGCACCAACTTCGGGAACAGCCATCGCCATAGCGCTACCTGGCGTCCCCCCTCTGCGAATCAAGCTTGGACTCAGATTGATCATGTTGCTGTCAGTTTCCGGTGGTGAGGATGCATACAAGACTGTCGCTCCTTCTGGAGCACATGCCTGGATTGCGATCATGCGTTAGTGTGTGCCAAGTTCGTCTTGCGATTTGGTGGGGTTCATAAAAGCCGTCGTATAAACGTTGATGTGAGCAAACTAGTAGCACCTGCTACTTCTTTGAAATATCAGAATGAGTTACAATCAATGCTTGCCAGCAACCCCCAAGATGAACATTGGCTTCATTTGCAAGGTGCCATGCGGCTTGAAAGAATTCTCCGCTAAAAACCACTGGGTTTCTGCGAGTGCCTTGCAACTCCTGGATGAACGCCGGTCCATTCCGGCTGGCAGCGAATACAACAATAAGCGAAAGACGCTCGCGCGAAAGATTAGACAGTGCATAGGTAAGGACCGCGAAGCCTGGTGGTCAGAACGTGCGTGTGAGATGGAGTCAGCTGCTGCATCTGGCAACAGCCGGAAGCTCTTCCAACTCATCCGAGCCACCGGCAGCAAGAAACAAGGTGTCAGCGAGACAGTCTGTGAGGCAGATAGCATGCCAATTACCAGCTTGAAAAGACGCACGGAACTCTGGGCAGAGCACTTCTGGAAGCAGTTTAGCTTCAGTGTCTACTGTCATTAGCCTCAGTGCTCCTTGGTCGGTTAGTACCGACCCACCCACCGAACTGGGGGTCCATAAGGTAAAACAAGTGTTGAAACGCTATAAGGCGCCCGGCTCTTTTTAAAGATGGTGGCGAGACTCCCACAATGGCTCTAACTAGGCTGTTCAGGAAGGTATGGGAGACAGAGAGTGTACAGTCAATGTAGAACTGTTATGTAATGCTGCTGAGTGAGTTATTAGAGTTTTCCCCGTCACCAATTATGTTATGTACTCGTCGAGTAGTTAATAGTCCTGACGCGGAAAGAGGGAAATCAGAAGACCACCAGGTTCACAATGTTATGCTTCATGCAGTTATCCAGGTCCAGTTGAGGACGCAAAGCAAAAGAAAGCAAGAGGAGTCCTAAAGGAGTGATTAATAAATAAATATATATATATATATTCTGTTAACTAACTATTGTTATTTTTGTGCACTAACTAACTAGTCCCGTTATGCTAACTTTTATATTATGTGTGAACTAATATTACTGTCCTGTGTAGAAATGTTTATCATCTAGTTCCAATAATATTAACATTTATAATTGTAGTTTGTTGTAACAACACGTCTAATGAAAAAAATAAAATATCTATGTAGGGTGAAAAAGAGGGTGTAAGAGTCAGATGTAGAAGTGCATTGTCATCTTTGAGCAGTCTGGTGACTGAGGAGATGAACACTGGAAGTGTGTTTGCATCACGTACATTAGCTGGTAGTCTATTCCAAATGACTGAAAGCTTATTTAAGAAGAAGTTGTACCGCATGTAAGTCTGACAATGCTCAATAGCAGCTAGGTTGTGATGATTTCTAAGATTGTAACTGATGACAGCGGTAGGTTTAGTTATTGGCTCGGAGGAGTGCAAGAGAAGATTAGTTAGCTTGTTGTAAGAGATAAGGCTTAGCTTAAGACGTCTTTTCCAGAGTGGTTCTAATCTTGGTCTGTCGCATAGCTCATAGCATTCCAGACCACTTTCTAAACGAAGAGTTCTTGAGGTAAACTGTCGTTGCACTCCCTCTAATTTAAGCTTGTCATTTTGTCTGAGTCCGCTAAGAATAAACGGGCAGTATTCTGAAATAGGTCGGTCACATACTTTGTATAATAAAACCTAGTTTCACAACAAAAGAAATTGAGTGTTATGCATCCTAGCAGCCTTCGTGTTTTACGTCTCCCGTGATCAGTCTGTTCAGAGAACGCTAAGTTACTAGAGTATCTGATACCGTGATCTACAACTGAGTTGGGCTTGGCTAGTTTTCGCCCATTTCTTCAAGAGTTAGATCAAGGTTACTGTTTCCGATACAAATCCAGCCACATTTGTCAATGTTAAAATTTAGACAGGATTCAGCACAC